ACCCTGAAACACGATACAGTTCTGTGGAATATGATATTACAAGAAATTTCTTCGTTAAATGTAATTTATATTCCTAGTATTTCAATTCCGGATAATTGTTCTGCCATTGTAGATGCTAAATAGGTAATTATTGATTCATTTGTTTATTAACTGATTGTGCCTGTCAGCTCTCGTACTGCGGTACGAAATGAATCCATAATCGTGATTTTCATCCGCAATTTAGAATATCTGGTCAATCTATGCGAGCTATCGAATAGTGAACTGTTTCAATTTTAAATTCTCAATGTTGTTATTGAGAAATATAAATTGCATTTTAGTTTCAATTTAGCATTAAGCCTCTTTCAAACACATTTTACTAAATTCCCAGTTCAGATTAATCTCTTAACGGAACTTTCATCCAGGCCATAACCTAACCTCAAAACTTGAAAACAGTATTTGTAAAACGAGGATACGAAATTAAGAACTTTCGTAGTTTTCATTTATTATTAATATGATATTTTGTTGCTCATTTTTGGGTTGAAAAGGCATTTCACTGGAATTAGGTGAAAGGGATAACCTAACCTTAAAAATTATTAAACGTTGTATTACTATCAGTATTATATTTATACCATAATATTCATTCTAATATTCATATAGAAAATTTTTAATTTTCACTACATTCAATTTGTTATAAACTTTTCAGTCTTCCAATCTTTCCAAATATAAATTTCCTATCTAACAGTACATAATATAATATATGACTATAAGCATTTCGTCACGATTAGTAATCCAGAGAATACAGTTATTTCATTTCCATACTTACAATGCAATTTATAAATATAATTAGTAGATAATAATATTTTTTAGATATCAAAACACTTATTTCAAATTAGAATGTCAAAATTGTCTTGGATTAGCTTTTTGCCAGCAAAGATCAGAAGTTTTATTAGTGTGGACTCATGTTACTACCAAAAAGATGGCAAAAGGTATTGGACCAATATGAAAAATATTTAATTCAATAAAATATTTATACTCTGTGAGAAAATCGTCTTCGCTCTAAGGAAAACGAAATTATTTTCCGAATAACTCGAAATATAAGAATATAGTATATAAGAAATTGTATTAATTGCAGTAACAATGTTAATGGTTCGCATAAAAATTACTGATGAAATATCTGTATTTCTCTTCACTCTTTTAAAGCATACAATTTTCGTTTGTCACTCATTAATTCCACTTCTCTTTCATTTATTCTCTCTCCTCCGATATTTTATACAAAAATACCCAGATTATACCACATTATTACATGCATACCCATTTTCGTAACAATCTAAAGTCGTTCACATAAAAATTCTATACATACTCACCGTACTCGTCTCTCCATACAAATATCACGCACTTTCGCATCATGGTATATTAAAATCTGTGGTAACCAGTACCACAAATGCGACATAACTCTGCGCCGCCATCTGGTGGGCGCCTGAACAACGAGAGTTCGGGCGTCGAGCCTTATTGGGGGATAGAAAATGAGAAATATATATTTATATATAATTTATACTTATATTTATTACTTCTGTTAATGTGTAATAAACAATCGCGTGTCATTTCATTTCCAATAATCAGATTTCATCGAACCAAGACGAAAAGCAAGGCTTTTCTGTGACGTAACCTAATACCTGACCTAAGAATCACAAAGGGACTCGAACTGCTGCTCCACTCTAAGCAATTCCTTCTCCAACTGCGCCTTTCGCTGATATTTTATCAAAACTAAGCGGCACAAGTGTCGACACTACAAGGGAAAGATTCGCGCGAAGAAACAGAGGCAAGTTTGTTTGCAGACCAGGCTGCAGATATTACTGGCAAGGATCGACTAGGTGCACGCTTTCTCGTTTGCTGCACAGTTTCTCGCGAGCATGTGTCGTTCCCTGGTCCTTGTGTGCGAATGTCCACAAGATCTTTCCGTCTTCTCGAGAACATCGTGTCCTCGAGCTAGGGATTCATCGTGGCGCTGTGTTTGCACGTGTGTACTCGTATCGAGGTTCCGGTGTGCTCAGCCCGATACCTGGTCGACTCGAACAGCTGTACATGATGCAACACCCATCGCAAACAATATACACAGAACGTCCAATAAATCTTGGTACACCCAGGAAGTGATTATCGATGGTAAAGAACTGGAATGAAGAATGGAGTAACTACGATGGAACGGTCCATCTTCTTTGAGGTTAGGGTGTATTAATGTAAATAGAAGGAATATACATCTAATATAAAGAGGAAAAAATATTTCCAGAAAATTGTGAGGATCAGAAGGAGTATATATGATAGGTCACAATTTCTGTGTTTCTAATAATAGAGCAATTTTATAATTTAATTAACGTTGTATACTTTAGCAGAATTATCACACTGTAATTTCGTGATTTATTTTTTTATAGGTTATGTTTCTGGACTTGATAGGCTTTGATCGAGTTTGTTATTCCAAAGTGTTCCTTTTTAATTATGTTTCTTCAGTGCAGTTTGAATGTTATGAATTATTATAATACGTGTGTTTAATTGTTAAGATCAGGAGTATATATGATGAGTCACAATTTTTGTGTTTCTAATAATAGAAAAATTTTATAATTTAATTAACGTTGTATATTTTAGCAGAATTATCACACTGTAATTTTGTGATTTATTTTTTTATAGGTTAGGTTTCTGGACTTGATAGGCTTTGATCGAGTTCGTTACACCAAAGTGTTCCTTTTTAATTATGTTTCTTCAGTGCAATTTGAATGTTATGAATTATTATAATACGTGTGTTTAATTGTTAAGATCAGGAGTATATATGACGAGTCACAATTTTTGTGTCTCTGATAATAGAACAATTTTATAATTCAATTAACGTTGTATATTTTAGCAGAATTGTCACAGTGTAATTTCGTGATTTATTTCTTATAGGTTATGTTTCTGAACTTAATAGGCCTTCACTTTGATCGAGTTTGTTATACTAAACTCGTTTGTTCCTTTTTGGTTATCCTTGTTCAGTGCAGTTTGAATGTTAGGAATTATTATAATACGTGCGTTTAATTGTCATCACTTTTTGAACTCCCTAATCATTTCGTTTTCGCATTTCAATCATCACATCCTTGCAACTGCATTAACACGCCAATTTGCGTTCACTCAATCATCATGTGGAAACAGAATTCAATTAGTTTTAGTAACTGATAATCAAATATGCAAACACGCTAACTAACCGCATTATATAATTTTGTTTACACTATAATGAAATATGTCTATTTCTGCGCAAATGAATAATAACAATATCTAGAAATTACAATGAAGCCTAGCCAATCTCGTACTGTATGTAAATTTTGATGATATTTTGATTCTAACTAAATTTTGATTGACTTTAATGGTGCACTATATCTTTATAAATTTTTCCGGAACAAGGTGTCCTGTAAAAATTGACAAATAGTAGTTAATATTTGATAGAAATTGGTAAATTTAGTAAATTCTATTATAATTGTTTAGAAATCACCATAAAAGAGTTTCACAGTAAAATTTAAATTTGTCTTCTTGGATCATGAAAAACTGTGTTAAAATAGGAAGAAATAAATAATAATAATAATAAATTAATAATAACAATAAAATTAATAGAAATAATAAATTAATTTAACAGGAAATAATAAAACTCTAATAATTTATTACCTTATTTTGTCTTATTATTAATTTTAATTATCAAAATATAAATTTACATGCATCGAATTGAAAGAATTAAGAACGGATCACACGAAATGAAGACGAAGATCCATACTTTCAGATTTGACGATAAAAACACGCGGTATATTTCAGCACCCTTTTACCATGGGTTCCTTTAACGGAAACCAGATTTATCTTACTAATATTTTTTACTCCTGTCGCGACACAATTTCCAAATATCGTGGAACAGTACGGTGTGTTGCAACAATGTACGTGCATGGCCGAGAAACGCCGACAGGCATATTTATTCCCAGCGTCCCTTAGCGGAAATTGAAAGTACTTAAACGTGGATACGTATCGCTACAGCGGCCATATACGACGAAACGTGCTGCTCTGGTGGCGGAGCTACTTACTGGATTTCGAAGCGCGCGAGATACGAGCTGGATTTTCGCTTACCAGTCAAATTATTTTCCTACGTCGCGAAATTCCTGAGCCTGCACGGCCATGTGTCCTTACCAATGTTCTGCTACATGATCGCGGCGAAACTACCGGGTGATACCGCAAATATATCACCATCCTTATGTGTAGGCTTTATTTTCCAGGCGTATTCCAAATTCACGGGTATCACATCTGTTTCTATGAGAAAGGTCTTCTGTAGAATGTGACATCGATGAAAATTTACGTGGATTATTACAAACATGGTTAATTAGAAAGATATATATAAGATTAGCAGAAATTGTTTATAGAAATTAGAGAAAAATAATTAACCGACGATTATGCATTGGTTATCCATGAGGTTATCCTTGATTAAGGATATCATTGGTTAAGGACTTAATCTGGTTTGTGGAATTTCTTACAGTGTGTATAGAACGAAATTGGAATAAATATAATGGATTAATAATGACACAAATCTGAAAATTAATTATTGATTGAACACTGTATTTATGTTATGACATATATAAATTAATTAATATGTTAATATTATTGTGCATGATTGGGAAGGTTCAAATTATAATGGAAATGTAAATGATACAATAATTCTTGAAGATTTTAATAATCTATTGATGATTTGTATGTTTTAAATATACATAACTGTGTTGAATTTTGTTTAAAAATGTGCTATTTGTTAATATAGTACAATTGAAATTATGCGATATTGCAGCACAAGTTATTATGCTTAACAAGACCAATAATTCCACAAACCTTTTGATATTAGTATCTTTCTTCTATCTCCCAAATGAGTATGTTAAAAATAAATATTTTAATAAAATTGTATTTTATCTGAATATATAAGTAATTTCTGAAAAATATTAATTTATTTATCATACTTAAAAATTCTTTTGTTACAGAGTTCGCTGGTGTGAGTGTACAATGCGGTGATTTCAGGGAGGACAGGACATCTGGAGAAAACTAGAGTGCAGTGCTACAAGTGGTGAGTTAAATTTCCCCTAGATGAAATTCTCATTAAAAATGAGGCGATGAAATCATAATTTTCTCATATAAATTATAGGAATCCTTCGTAAAATCAACTTCATTAATTTTGAAGTTAAAATTCGATCGTTTCTCGTGTAGAACGTAATACAAAACCTTGATAGACATGAGAAAAATTTTTCAAAGGCATACATAGATTTCCCTAAGATACGTGTTTCAGCGTGGACTGTGAAATAAATTTCAGCTTATACTGACAGAATATTTAAATTTGTAAATTACCTCTGATATTGACATATCTTTGTCTCAAATATTCCCTCTCGTCAAATATCGCTCAAACACTCCGTTATCTCCGACGATCCAATAAAGCGGCGAAGAAAGCGCAGATTAACCCGATGTAACCTCTATTCCGGGGAACCGGAAGCACAGAAGAGACTATACCGAACGAAGCCATAGGACGAATTAAAACTTTTTCTACCCGAGGGTAAGATCCGGTGGGCGGAGGCCACAGACGATGGTTGGCCAGCGAAATTATTTCGAAATTAGAGATAAATGTGATTTAGAAAGGGGAAGCTCGAACCCCCGTGAAATGGATAGCTCTGTTTGAATCCGCCGCGGTTTTATTTATTTCTTCCAAAGAAACACTTTGACCCTGCAGCCTCTGGCTACCTTACACATTCCCCATTTTGCACGGCGGGAAGAAGAGAAAGAAGATAATTTAAAGGCAAAGGCAAATGGGAGGGGGGCTGATTAAACGGCCGTTAAGGGGAAATGAATTTTAAATACGATTCTTCATACACGCGCGAGCACGGGGGCGAGTAGGAGCCGGAAATGATCGCGAAACTGGCTCCATTCCGTGAAACGTTTCCGTGGTAGAGAAAGTCGGCCTTTATACGAATTAATTTTTGCCTGGATTATTATTTGAACGAGATTCTGCTCGTATTACTCGAGCAATTTTCAGGGCACAGTGGAAGAAAGATTGCTGGAATACTTTATGTAGGTTGAGATTATGTTTCTTACCATTTAGTACCTCTAGTCAGCGTTTGGATAATGTTTTATCGAGGGATACGAAGGATTGTATTTGGCAATAAAATATCTGAATAACCGGAATTTTAATCTTTGCAATTTTTCCTTGATATATATTGATGTTCCTATTTTATAATGCAAGATCCACCGAGTACGACCATCTATTGGAAAAGTCAGGCATTGAGATCAAAGTTGACAATCCATTATTAATGATCCGTCTATTGTGATCCATGTCTCTAATTTTAAGTTCAGGGTCCAGGGTTAGGGAATATATGTGAGGATTTAGGATTCAAGAACACGTGATAGAAGGATTCCTGACCCAACAGTAGAGGATCTTAGACTCAGAATTCAGGAGTCCACGATTTATGATCCAGGATGCACGAGTGAACATTTAAAATCTGTTGTCTAAGATTCTATTATGCAGAGTTTTGCTTTCGAGAAGAATATTCATAATTCAAAATAAATTTAACGTCATTTATGTTGAGTATTTATAGTTTAGGATTCATGATCCAAGATCTACAAGTTAAGGTCCATGTGTCGCGATCCACGATTTAGCATTCAAAACTTCAGAGTTCTAATTTAGAATTAAACATTTACACTTTGAGCTCTGTTTGATTCGATCCATACCTTGTGGTCCAAAGTACATTATTTGATATCCCAAATCAGGGATCCATTGCTCAGGATCCATAAATCTATGCCCAGAACGCAGAATTTTAGAACAAGTTCAAAACATTGGAAGTTTGTAATTCATTCTGTAGGATCCATGCACTGGAGTCCAAGATCCATATGCAGGAATCCAAGATCTATAAATTGGACTCTAAAATTTACAAAATCTGTTTGCCAACTTTCATAGTCCATTGTATGGACTCCAATATTGTTCAAGTCTATATGCCAACGATCATAATCCATTGTGTGTAGTCCAAAATCCAGTATCAGGAGTCCAATATCAGGTCCATTGAGTCCAAAGTCCATTATTCATGATTGGAGGTACAAATTAGATAGTAAAGCACACGTGTCGTACAAAAAGTGTACAATATTATCTCAAGTCTATATACCAACGATCATAATCCATTGTGCGTAGTCCAAAATCCAGTATCAGGAGTCCAATATCAGGTCCATTGAGTCCAAAGTCCGTTATTCATGATTGGAGGTACAAATGAGATGGTAAAGCACACGTGTTATACAAAAAGTGTGCAATATTTTCTGAAATCTATATGCCAACGATCATAATCCATTGTATAATCCAAAATCCAATGCTGGGAGTCCAATATCATGCCCATTGAGTCCAAAGTCCATGATTTATGATTGGATGCACAAATTAGATGGTAAAGCACACGTGTCGTACAAAAAGTGTGCAATATTGTCCCAAGTCTATATGCCAACGATCATAATCCATTGTGTAATCCAAAATCCAATGTTCGGAGTCCAATATCATGTCCAGTGAGTCTACGTTCATGATCAAAAGTATAAATTAGTTTATATAGCAAAATCATTGTGTAATCCAAAATCCAATGTTCGGAATCCAATATCATGTCCAGTGAGTCTACGTTCATGATCAAAAGTATAAATTAGTTTATATAGCAAACGTACAAGAAGTGTACAATATTTTCTGAAGTCTATATGCCAACGGTCATAGTCCATTATGTGGAGTCCAAAATCCAGTATTAGGAGTCCAATGTGATGTCCAATGAGACTACGTTCATGATCGAAAGTATAAATTAGGTAATATAGGACACGTGTCGTACAAAAATCATACAATATTGTCAGAATTACAGATCAAAGCTGCTGTTATCGCAATTGGAATCTTTCGACATGGAGGATATTCGTACGTTTATACCACGATATTATCATGTGATCCATTTACCGAAACGCGAAACGTATATCTTGATTTTACATGGAATTTACGTTGGCTTATGACAAATTCGTTGGGAACGTAGCGCGAGGGGCTTACGTGAAATAATTTAAGCCGGCCCTTAAAATCGTGCGGTCCGTATCGAATATGGAAATCGAGGCTATGACATACCAGCCATTGAGCTTTCTATTAAAGGGCTTTTTCCTCTCACGTACTCGTTCCTGTGTGACTCATTTTTCATCGCGGAAATTTAAATTCCCTGCCTTCGTACAAAGCTCCGTCGTAATTGTTTCACTCTTTCGAAATAGTTGATTTACGAAGATAATCAAAATTTTAATTCCGACGATGTTGGAATGAAAATTAATGTACCGTGTATTCATATATTCAGGCAGAGGAAAAAATCGAATTCGAAATATCTTTATTACACATCGCATTTATCAACTCTCATTTCGATAAACAAAACTGCTGGACCTGTTATCTGCAAACAACGAATTCATCCTCATATTTTGGGCGTGTGTCTGTTATATATTATACTGTATTTTAATATAGTATCATACTGTCCATCTTCCTTTATACTGAAATTAGCAAACTAGACTAAATCATGGCTTTCATACTCCTTCCTCTGCCGAGTGCCGAAAACGTGCAGCTAATTTTGGCAAAATTGATATTCTCTATTATCGTGGAAAATGTTCGGACGCTACATTTCAAAACAATTCTCTAACCCAAATATTCTGATTTTAATGAAAATTTGCGTGCACGTAAAGCATAACGAGTTGCACGTGGAGAAATTTTTTCATCTGCAGAAAATGACTTTGAGGGGATAAAATCAAAGATTAAAGTTTCAACAATCTTTTTGTTTCTTAAACGGTTTCTCACAGAGTGAAATGTTTATCATAGGGCGAAAGAGGATTAAAAATTAAACATTTTTTATTTGAAAAGCTTTACTCTGTCTCGCATTATTATACAGTTACGTTTAAAAGAGCACAGAGATCGAATTGTAGCTTTGGATAATTATTTTACCCACGTGAAGTAAATAAGCGGTCAAACAAAAATTGTTCCATGTGTGACTTGTTAGCTTTTGCATACACATATACTTCCATTAAGGTCAGAATTTTTCAGTTAGGGTACTTCCTTGAAATATCTATGACGTTGAAATACTGTGTATACACCGCTTTATTTACCTATCATATACTTATTTGTCTTCCTCACAGTATTTTAGTTGCTATTAAAATATCCGTAAATTATTAAATATGCTTTTAAATAAAAATATAACAGGGAGATAGGGGTGTTATAAGGTTGAACGAAAACATATTTGTATTTATCTTTCACTTATTGCAATTGTATAATAAATTCAATAGAGTATGTACAATATTCAACACCTGAAGTATATTCAGGAATCACTATTCAAAATATATTGATTCAAAAATGTACTGAACAGGGTAATACAGGTTAATTTTTCAGGTTAAGCGAAATCATATTTGTATTTTGCTTTCACTTATTTTAGTCGAATAATAAATTTAATAGGGTGTGCATAATATTCAACGTCTGAGGTATATCCAGGAATTCCTATTTAAATTATATTCAGTAAAAAACGTTCGTAACAGGGTGATAGAGGTGTTTTCAGGCTAAGTAAGAGCATATTTATAGTTTCCTTTCGCTTATTTTACTTAAATAATAAATTTAATAGTGTATGTATAATATTCGTCGAATCAAGTGCATTTAGGAATGGACTCTCAAGATTTAAACGAAAACATATTTGTATTTTCCTTTCACTTATTTCAATTGAATAATAATTTTAATAAAGTATATTCAGGAATCCCCATTTAAAATATATTCATTTAAAAATGTATACATGTTGATAGGGGTGTTATCAAGTTGAATGAAACCATATTTGTGCTTTCCTTTCATTTACTTTAGTTGAATAACAAATTTAATAGAGTATGTATAATATTATTCTCGCATTTTAAGCATATCCAGGAATCCCCATTTGAAATATATTCATTTAAAAATGTATACAACAGGTTGATCGGGGTATTATCAAGTTGAATGAAACCATATTTGTGCTTTCCTTTCATTTACTTTAGTTGAATAACAAATTTAATAGAGTATGTATAATATTCGGCATC